CCGACCGCGCACAATGAATATGTAACAGGTTCAAGTATGAATTAATTTCCCGTGGATGTACGCCGGCGTGCGTCGTCGCAGGCTTCAGGGAACGGTCCTAATTGGTCGGGCCGAGACAAGAAGGATCCCTTCGATCCCTTATAAATATGCGTCGCTCATTAAGACCGTGGATCGTTTGCCCCTGAGTCACCGAGATCGATCCCGCATTTGCGATTCTGATGGACCGGATCAAATTCGGAACAGCGATATCGCGATATCAGATTTTTGGCGACGTCCTCGTGTTAATTACAGGAAACGATTCGATTCGTTTCCCAAGAAGTATAAACGATCGTTCGCTTTCTATTCTATTTGACCCGCGATAAAAGACGAAACGTATAAACAGGGAAGGTCTTAAAATAAATTGTTTGGGTCTAACTCCGACGGTAACCCGTTCTCTCTTCGAAACAAAATTAACAAGTTCGACGATTCGGTCCGGTATTTCGAGCTTTGCCAATGTATCCCTGCGAAAGTCTCGAAGTTTTTCCGCAGGCTCGACTCCGACAACTCGCGTTTCCGTAGCTGCGGAGAACTTTTCAGCCGAACGATCCTCCGTGGAATTGAAGCTTGCAGCCGGGATTTTCTTTTCGAATCGAACCGTTCTCGTTAGCATCTCGCCGCGGTTGTAGAAGGTGCGCGCGGGTAATTTCTGGTTTCTGGAAGTTACAGTTCGCGCTGATTCAGTGGAGGGGAAAAAATAGAAGTTGGAGCGTAACGCACTTAGAGTAGATTGGAGCGCCCGATAGTGAGGAAAGAAAGAATGGTAAAAGTAGGCGAGAACCCACTTGATTCTCCGTTCCTCGTTCGTTCGATGTTTCTCTCGTAGGCTGTCTTCGTGACGCTTTTAAGAACCACTACTCTTCGATTTCCTGACTGGGCATCTAACAAGAGTAGATAAGAAAATGCAGCTCTTTTCTACTTCTCACGTACTTCACGTCGTTCAACAGAAAGTTGTGTATCAATAAAATTAGAAGTATATTTTAAAGAATATAATATACTAAATTATATTATAAGCATTGCATATAAAATTTTGTACTTAGAAGTCATGAATAATTTCATGATCATTTGAATACTGAGTGAAAAGCGGAATAATAGCTAATTAATGTCCTAATATAAAATGATTTTATTTTCGATATTCGTCCAGATATAAATGCATTCTAATACGCTTAATAATTGATTAAATTTCATGGAGCGGAAGGCATCCATTCATTCCGTGAACACTTTTGTCTGTCGTGTAATTAACCAACGATTACATCGAATTCTCTCTATTTTTCGATTAATTGACCTCGTGCAACGTCGATTCTATTTGCGCGATGATCGATCGTATAATACGAGAATTTGTCTTGTTGATAATCTTGTAAGAACAGACCTGGTTCGTAGAACGATGAAATCGTTAATAGATCTTTGTTATCTTGTTATTTGGCGAGATATTCGAGCGAACGTGTCTCGCATACCAATTAAAATGGTATTTCGTTGCGAGCGGGTCGATTGGTTCACGGTATTCGTAAGAAGCGAATCAGGCTGAACGGACGCATTCGGTTGAGGCGAGTTCGCAACAGTGTAACTGGAGGCATCAGGCATAATTGCATATCAACGCCAGGCGAGGCTGCTGACCGAGTAGGAAACACGGACAAAGCGGCGTAATTTGTGGAATCGTGGTAATCGGCTTTATGGCTTTTGCCGCTTGCAGCTGTAGGTATTTCGGGGATCGGTCGTGTCTCGCAAACTGCCGACACGAGAACGTACCGTAGCATAATCGACGCTCGCCGAGGGGGAATCTGATGCTCGATGAAATTTAAGAGGATTCTAGAAAGGTTTATTACACTCGTCACGCGGCACTCGTTCCGTTATCGTCTTACTGTATTTTGTATGCGCGAAAATCTGCGATCAACGTCGTTTAAGATTTAGTCGTCGATCTCGTTGCGAGATAAAGTCGCCGTATCTCGCGAATCAGAACGTTGAACATGAATATTCTCGCTGTTGTTTCTTCTAAAAATTTACTCTTGAAGAATGACGACCAGCGACATGAACCACCGCCGCGCCACTGAAAATATAACTCTAATTGCGTTCACAGTTAAGATAAACACGACGGAGGTTCGCAGCGATGCAAGGAGAAAATTGGGGAATTGAAAACCTCGGGGGAAAAATAAATAGAACAAACGACATGGGGGACGAAATTTCTACCGAGCTTTCTTCAATTACTTAAACTCGGAAACAGGGCAAAAATTTAATTGCACACGCGACGCGAGACCGCGGTCGGCTCGGGACGAGGAATTAAAAAGAGAACAAAAATTCGGAATAAACTGAAGCGGCTTTAATTGTACGCTTTAGTGGGCGAGCGTGCACTCCATTTTTGTTTCATTAACGGCGAAATACATTCGCCCATTACGAGCGACGCGCATTTTTTTAATGTAACAGAAAGTGCTCCCTGTTAACGATCACCGAAATAATGTATGGTTCCCCGTTAAAATTAACGCTGTGATCGTTCACTGGCTTTTAAGGACGTTAGTCCCGCTCAGTTGGTCTCAATCATTTCAGATGTTGCCACGTAGTGGTACACATATTAAATAGAAACAAATGGTTGAGAATCTTTGGCCCTCTAATACATCGCACAGCGTATACATACGCACTTACACAAGCTTACACAGAAGAGCCGTTGCCGCTATTGGCTACACTATCCCCTCCCTCGCCGTCCTCAA